TGTAAGTTTATCATTTAACTTCATATACTAACTTGCTATTATTTTGGTTGTGTTATTGTTATCATTAAGATTTATCGATAGTTTCTGTAATTCCTATTTATTAGTGATAATGATCACCAGTAATAATGTTATTCAATTATTTGTTTTTGTCTCTTAGCACTTGAAAGTATCCTTTATGTCTGATATTTTTAAAATTATAATCTTTTATTTTGCTATAGTAGTCGAACACCATGAATTTACTATTTAAAAAATCAACATGAAAGTGAATTGCATAACATACTCGTATCACTTAAATTTTTGCGGTTACATTGATTAGAGGACTATCTTCTCTTGACTGCAGTTAAGGCTTTAGATAGAGCTATAAGTGATTATGATCCAGCGACTAATTTTCACTGTTAATTTAATTTACGTTATTTTGTGAAGACTACAACGCATTTACGATTCAGACATTTTAAATTAAACTCGTATTCATTTAATGTTTATTGCACACTCATAACATAAGTACACAATTGTACTGGTAAGTATATACCTACTAAAAACTCATATATAGATTAAGAAAATTAAACGGATAAATGTGGTTATAAACCTATGCCAATTTAGGTAGGTGGAATATGGCTTTACACACTGCGGATAAGTTTACCGTGGCGTGTGGTGAAATCTGTATCAGCAAGTGATTGGATTTGAAGAAAGCTAAGAGTAGTTTCTCCTTCATGAATAAATACACTTGTTTAATTTATTTTTTAAATTATTCATGATTAAATTGTTTCTTTCCTGCTTTGTGTACTACATAGAGTGTGGCAACTTGAACTGCCGCACCTATGTGCAAAGTTCTGTCTAAAACAGACAGACAAACAGACAAATTGTTCAATAGAAGCAAAAGACAATCACATTTCTTCTTCCATTCTGCCTTTGAGAATAGGATAAAAGTGTTATAAAAGATATGAACAGATCTAACTTGTTTGGTATGGGGTTTAACATATTTACTTTGTAGTACAAGTTGCATTGATCTACATTCGGACTGAAGCTGAGAAACAATTGAAGTCACTTACTCATATATCATCCCTCAAGGTTTGGCTAGTAATGGCTCAGCATCCTTGATGAAATCCACTGTCACCATAACTAGACGCTGTACAGCATCTTATACAAGCACTGTCAACGATCTAAAATGGTTTTTATATAGCTTTCTACGCGTTTATCAACTTACTCGTAAGGAGCAACCATGCTGTGACAAATGGCGGGCTATGGGTGATTGAGCGAAGTAAAACAAATCTGCTTGACAATGACCAATATTAATCTGCATTCAGTTGAATTCACATCTGGTATTACTTGCAATAAAAATGATGTCAAAATCATAAAAATTAATCACTCATTTTAAATTAATACACAATTTGAACATAAAACAAGATACGATGCCGCACACAACAAAGTTATATGAAGGAATTGACTTCAAGCTTTACTTTTTTCCCAAGTATTTGTAATTTATCCGACACGTACTTGGGTTTTTTTTGTTAATGCGAAGACAATATTTCTATATTTCTTTATGTGCTCCATTGAACGACTAACTATCAGAATGTGCTCACTAACTGATATCAGAGAGGACATCAACCATGTAATTTCACTATAAATCAAATTCATGTAATTTAAATAATACTTATCCATGCCTGTACAACTGGTGTGTCCTACATTGATAGGAAATATATATTATATTCATAATACACATAAGGTAAAGTACAAACCAATGGTGTGATAGAGACATAAAACCTCAAAATTATAATAAGATATATGCACAATAACCGAGATTGTTCACAATTTCAGACCGACAGTCTTTTGTTGAACTTTAAAAGGTCAAGAGGGAGTTGCAGTACTGAATCATAGTAATGCTTAATACCATTATATAGTACAAAGAAGAATGAAGAATAAAGACCAGAATTCATATTCAGTTAAATAATAAAGTAGCACTATCAAGTTGTAAGAACACTGATAAAAAATATAACTTGATGTAACTAAATATTTCAGCTTCTAGTAGCATGGTTATTAGGAGGAATCAAATCACCACCTCCAACTAACTGAGCAATTCCACGTCTATCAACTACTTCTATTGCAGGAGTGAAGACCTTATTCATCACTAACTCAGCTGAATGGTCTATAGCATTGGCTAATTCCGGCGCTTGACCAGTATAACTTAAAAACAACCAGGTAAACAATGTTATTAAAGCAGTGTAGAACGGCATAGTCAGAATATTTGAAATCACTGATAAGCCAATGAACTCAAATATTCCTGTGACAACATAGAAAAGCAGTAAGATGACAACCAAGACGGTTGGAGTACGAAACGTTTGAAATATGTTCTTTTTAGAATTCGCTAAGCGGAAGTCTTCTCCCATTTGCGTTATTGTTTCCTTTAAGCGATGCAAATACTCTTCAGAAAATGCTTCACCACCCATTTTAGGGCAACTATTGAACTTCTCAATACAATTATTATATATTTTCAAATGCAATGCTTCTAGTTCATTTGGGTTGATGTACGGTCGGTCCCTACCTTCAGGGGAAGAGGTTGTCGTTTTATTAATGGATACACAAGGTTCTTTTGATAGCACTAGTACTGTGTGTCATTGTGCCACAGTTTTCGCTCTGAGTACAATGTTGAGCAGTATCCAAGTATCCAAGCACTCTTTTGTGGTCACTCTCTGGTAACTCAGAACATATTACGTTAGAAGTGGGACTTATATTGTGGCAGAAGATTAAGTGTAGTACGTTATTACCTCTTCTTGGGGTTGTGACAGTCTGTTTCCAGCCAAGTATATCCAGTGTGCCTAAGAACTTATTAAATTTAGTTGGGCCTGTGGGTATTTCCCATTTGATTTCTGGTAAGTTAAAGTCTCCACATAGGATCTTATGATCGTATTGTAAGGTGGATAATTGTTCCAGAGTATTAATAAGTTGGGTCTCGTAATTACTAAAGGTACCAGGTGCTCTGTAGGTGCATCCAATTAATACCATTGCGTTATTGAAGTGTAAGTTAACCCATACAGTCTCAGGCATGTTAAGTGTACTGTTTTCTAGCTGTGATGCAGGGAGTGCATTCAGAAAGTACATGAGACAACCCCCTCCCTTACCACCTTCCCTGTCACACCGAAAGTGTGTGTAGTTATCTAAGCTTATCTCTTCATCCAGTATGTTAGAATTACACCAGGATTCAGTGATGACAAATATAGGGGGTTTGTATATTACTGTGAGTGCTCTGAGCATTGGCAGTTTATTTAGAACAGATCTACCATTTATGAGGATTCGGTAAAGATGGGAGTTTGAAGTATTCAAGTTCGTTAATCAGCCTCGAATATGGTTCAGCACCCAGTAGTACTGTTTGGCATGACGACCTTATGTTAAGAGGAGTTTCAACATCACGCTCATCTATGTCTATCGGGTAAGTGTGTACTGTTTTCGGTGAAGAATTAAGCGTTGGGGTACTGGATTTGCTATAGGCTAAGGCATTTTTATTTTTAGTTAAGCTGGAAACGTGGGTAGGGATCTTTATTTAGCCTAAACTTGTGCATGTATCAAGTGTGCTTAATGGATGCGGGTGAACTAGACTGTTCCTATATTCATGCAAAGGGGGAGCCAGCAGTAGTGGTTTAGGAGTGTTAACATCCCTACCAGCTGTTTTTTCAACGCTGACAGGGACGCAGGGGATAAAAACTGATTAGGACCTTGGGGAGACCATGGTTTATTATTCCACCTATTGTTAGGTAATAGTTGTGTTGTTGTATGGGTTTCATGTGTGCTGCTTTGTGGGTTAGTTCCCAGCAGACTTGTACCATATATCCGATCAAAATTTATTTGTATGCGATACTGTGGATACCCTGAGTTGTTGGTGGTCGAGTTCTGACAATTGCCACTTGTACCATTGAGGGAGGCATTGTTGTGGCGTTGGTTATCAGTGTGGGCCATGGTGCTATTTCGCACGTTTTGGGTGCCAATACTATTGACCGTGGGAGATGTGGGCTTATTTATACTGCCATTTTTGTTGTTGGCATGATTTGGGGTCATATTCTCCTTTTTTTACCAATGGACTTATGGACAGGAGAGGACAGGGCCGACTTTCGGGGGATTTTGACTTTTTTCCGGGATTATTTGGTGACATGTCTATATCTACGGTGATAGGCGGTATAGTTTTATTGGCTATTTCATTACAATTTAGTAGCCTTGCGGTTGGTGTCTCTCTCTGAGAGGATAATTCTGTGTGGTTTGAGAGGGGTGGTGCGGTGGATTCTACGGTATCTCTCAAAGGGTTGGGTATAATTGCTGCTTGCAATGTCCTATTGTTTATTCCACAATTAGACTCAGTGAGATGATTATATACGCGCCTTTCTATGACTGTCTTGTCCACTGCAACCTTTATTAGTTTGTAATTTCTGAATTGCGATAGGTTGTGTTGGGAGTGGATGAATTTTCTGGCCTCTGCCGGTGTTTCGAACTGAAAACGAATAGGACAACACTTTTCATGTTGACTCTTCTTCAGCCTGTAGCACTTAGTCTTGGAGTTGGGCATTTTCGCCTCACTAAGTAAGATGCGCTGTACCCTTTTTAGTGCCTCATTGTCCGGAACGTTGTGGACAATAGCACTTAGTTTAGCATCGAGTCGTTTTGTCACTTCTGTAGTAACAAAGTTAATTAGGTTATCCACCTTAGATATCGATTCCTTGTCAATTTTGTTAAGGTCTACAGTTTTCATGAGAATAGTTAAAGGTGTCAGTTCACAGACCTGCGATCTGATATCACTGATCTGATCTGATAATTTGGATATTTTGGTATTGGTATCAGAAATTCCAGGATCTACTGACTTATTGTTTTTTAAATCCCTTAACTCGGCCTTAAGTTCTCCAGTAGACAACTTTACAAGTTCTATTTCTGAAGATAGTACTGAAACAGAGCTTGATGGCTGGAGTTTATTGATAAGCACATAAGGTGTAGGGAGGGTTTCTGTATGAGCAGTGGGTACTGAATTTTTGGGAGTAGTGCTAATACTAGCTGTCAGTATAGTTTTATCCTCAGTTTCAGCTCGACGCTTACGACATACAAGTGAGTTTTGTGGCTCACTATAACCATTTGTAGGAAGTGTGTTGCTTGATATGGCAATCAACGACTTAAAATTAGTCATCAGTTTTGCAGGGGATTGAGTCCGCTGCTTTTTACTTTGGTTAACCATAACTATTTGATATGAGAGTTAATAGTTATAGGTACGGAAGTAGTAGAGTACTTGTGCAAGTATTACAACAAGATAAATTTTATGTAACGAATCACGCAAAAATGTAACGCAAACGTTGGACGTACCGCCAGAGTCGACAGAAATTAAACGTAACGTACAAGGTCATTGGTGGAGGGAGACGCTCAAAGGTCATTTTCGTCAATTTTAGTCGGCTATGTTGGACTGACGTTCCTTAACCGTTCGTTTACCCATCGGCTTTCACGTTTATCCTGCAGCTATTCAAAACTTATCTTGATCCGCATTGTTCACAAAGGTTGCGTTTCACCTCATTTGTCTTTCCGTCGCTGTTAAAACTAGTTATTTCGTTTGTTTCAAAGGTTTTTACCACCAGGTCAGTTCATCCACTTCATTGTAATTTTTTCATACATTGCATTCATGTGTGTTTACAGTGAATTAGTTGCTTTCCAGCTGTTAATGAAATAGTACTGTGTAGAAGTTTTGGAAATTATGCACATGAACATGTTCGGTTGGCGGAAGATGTTGTTTCCAGTTCATTTCTTGGTTGCCATTATTGTTACTGGTTCAGTTGCTTACTTAACATGTAGAAATCTGGAAAAAAACAATGTCTTTCACATTCTTGCTTACAGCACGCAGCAATCTACGGGTCAATCTGGTGAGGAAAATACGATCAGAGTTGATATTAGCAAAGTTTTCGAAGAGCAAATTAAACCTGAAGAATTTAGAATTTGGCATGAAGTTGAAAAAGCTTTGAAGCTTTTTTTATTTATTTATTTTTTAAATTATGATTACAGCTTGATTCCACACCGTATTTTCAGTACAAGTATGGAATTTTCAGCATGATATCGGTAGCCCAAATTTTACAGGCCGACCATAGATACCGGGTGTGCGCCGGCATAGGATCAAACCCTCGGCAAGAGTCCTAACCACTGTGCCACCGACGCACAAAGAAAGGGAGGACCGTGAGGCCTCCCCACTGACAAAAACTACATGCACGATCGCACCTGATTAGGGTCTGTCGAGAGTTTCAACCCACCGAGATGCAATGGTGAGCCTCCACCCGGGGTCAGAGCATTCTTGATCACCCTGAACCCGGCGTCAAGTTGACATGGTAAGAAGGTAAGCACAGTATCAGTGTGTCTATTATCAGTTAACAAACACCCGGTATATTGTGAGAGAATCTAAATTAAATAAGGATGAGCCACATGTGAAGTATGACTATGCGGTGTATGTATGTACTTTTGGACACAAGAGGAAATCCTTAGGTAATCACATCCGCCTTTGAGGGTAAGTTTCCTGTTGGTTTTAATGTCTGACGGAGTAGATCATAATACAGTGGTTGCCCATCAATGATACGCATCTGATATCATTGCAATGAATTCATTATACCATCTGTATATATGATTCATAATCACTATTGCACTCGTGATTATTTAATGAAGGATGCTAGAGCACGCAAATTAGATGAGTCTGAACTCTCTATAGTTAAGCCGATGCTGTCTGTTTCATCCGAACCTGAAAAGGTTATTGATTACGTTGCAGAACGATTCAAAAAAAGGATAACGTACAATGATCTACGAAATATAAGAGCTACTGTAGTTGAAGGTGAGACTTTGATGTACAAGAATAACCTTTCAGATTGTGATTTACGGTCAATGGTTTTTTCCAGATTACACCAAGCTGGGAAATTGGTTATAATTCGGGATGAAAACGATGGAAGAATAAGAATAGCATGTTTTAGTTCAAATAGGCAAACCGAAATTTACCACAAATTCCCTGAGGTCGTGGGTTTCGATTCCGCCTACAACACTTATAGAGGAAAGTAGGTGTAATTGTTTTCTACATCAAATATTTGAAGCTATAAACTGTTTCAATTTGTTGTTACAGACTCTCATGGAAAAGGTCTGCCGGTTATGTTTGCATGGAGTAGGCAAGAAAGGCTGGATGATTTAACGACGATTCTGGATAAATTTAAATGTGTAATGGGTACGACTTCCAATACAGAAACGTTTGTCATGGATTGCGCAAAAGCATTGAGAGGTGCCGTTGAGACAACGCACCCACTTTGCAATATAATATTGTGTGCATTCCATGTTTCTCGTGCATGCGTATAAAGGTAAGTTTTGTGAATTTCAAAGATTTTGTAGACAAAAAGTAGGCTTGTTAGGCAGTACCTGTCGAGTATGATTCGCAAGGAATCAATTCATGGGTAAATTTTTAGAACTGATCATAAATTTATTTACAGATTCTACACATACCTCGGTATCATACGGTATCTGGATCCCCGTTTTGCGAGGTATGTACACAGACACTGGCTGCCTTTGAAGAAACTATGGGCAGCAGCATTCAACCGTAGTGTTTTGTCACTTGACAATAACACTAACAATCGCGTTGAAAGTTTACACAGATGGATGAAACGAAATTTGTCAAGAGGTATTACGCTACATAAATGTATGTGGGAGGTGTACCGCTGGAGTGACAGGAGGTTGCGGAGAATTGATGGCGAACGAGATGTGAACATAAGAGTGCTGGACAACAGGATACCTAGTTTGCAACCCTTACTGTCGAAATTAACAGAGTATGCCGGAAAAATAGTTGTTGCAGATTTCAGAAGAGTAAGAAGGGCCTGCATTGAAAACCGTATTTCTCACAACGTATTTTTCGTCGATGGATTCACACACCCAATAGTTGGTATGGCAAGAGGTACATGTACTTGCAGGGTGTTCACCACCTGCAAGTATCCTTGTCGTCATATGGTAATCGCTCATCTGACTTATCCCCATTTTGAAGGTAAGTGAGACGCACATTGATCTTACAATACAGTTGATCGCGTTCTGAAGAATTGTCGACGATGGATGCTTGCTAACAGAAATCCACTACCCGTATTAACTGCTGCACCGGTAACACGAAACAGTGACATTGAAAACTATCAAAAGTTGAAGTGGAAGTTTTGTAGATTTCTTGACGAACGCGTAAATGCAGGTTATGTAGAAAAAGCAACTGCCTATTTATTGTCTTCGTATAACCGGTTAAAGGAAGGAAAGGGGGATGTATGAGACATCAGTGAGAACGTGGAATGGTCCTCTTTAGGGCCACCAAATACTGATTTCATTGACTTCATCAGTTTCACTTTAAATTATGAAATCGGATAAGTAGGGTAGGAAGAAATTAATCCGCAATCTCAGTAATGATTGTGAAGATGGTTTCCGAGTAATTGTGAATAGTGAATCTGTTGTGGAGATAGGATATACATTTTTTACCGAAAAATCATCTGAATGTCCTATTTAACCTTATAATTCTAAGACAGTCTTCAGTTGGTTACTAAGGTTGTAGCTGTAGATTGTATTAGGCCACTTCCGATCAAGCAAATAAGGTTGTATCTGACTATGAATGACTTATTGGCTTTGTACTGGGTAACTTCTACACCCAAGAAGCAAGATTAGCTATATATAGAACATGTATCCGCGCCAAACTTTAATATTGTGCTCTCGTGTATAGTAGCCTAAGGTCTGCAAACTGAAAAAAAATCGAAAGTGTTGAGAGAATCTTAAGAATATCCTCAGATATCGCTGTATCTGGTGACCTAATGGGTTCCGATTTTCTCTTTGTTCAGAAGGAAACGAAACGAAGTTTGGGTTGTCGCTCAACTTTGATGGTGACCTTAGTGGAGGGTTCACAATTTAACATTTATAAGAACCTGTTCTGATTGCCTATATAATAATTGAACAATTCAAACATTTGAAAAAGTGTTAATTAATGATACTTCAGGATTGTAATTTATAACATTACTGATCGTGCCTGTAAAATTGGCATGCATTTCTTGTAAACTTATCCGTTTCTACGAAATATAAATTATTATTATTATCCCGATGAATGGTATCCTGAGACGTGAAGTCTTCATTGAATGATACCATGCCGAAAGATGCAGCATCTAAATTAAGTAGACTATTTGTGTAGATGACATTACCCTTCAACTATCCTATCTTTCTCATTATAGCGATATTTTGCTACAGTTCGCCTGAAACACTGATCGTTGCAACCGATATGCTAAGGGGTGTCGCAGTCAGATTACATGACGCGGACACCAAAATAACTGGCCAGAAAATGGGAATTCCCATCAATCCAGATAACATATAACACAATTTTATTAAAAATTATTGACAAAAAATTTCCAAGTGAAATTTTAACAGCTGTTCTAGAACGTGACATTTAACGTCTACCGCCAGAGTCTCATACCTTTCATAGGTAGACGTTAAATGTCACGTTCTAGAACAGCTGTTAAAATTTCACTTGGAAATTTTTTGTCAATAATTTTTAATAAAATTGTGTTATATGTTATCTGGATTGATGGGAATTCCCATTTTCTGGCCAGTTATTTTGGTGTCCGCGTCATGTAATCTGACTGCGACACCCCTTAGCATATTGGTTGCAGTGATCAGTGTTTCAGGCGAACTGTAGCAAAATATCGCTATAATGAGAAGGATAGGATAGTTGAAGGGTAATGTCATCTACACAAATAGTCTACTTAATTTAGATGCTGCATCTTTCGGCATGGTATCATTCAATGAAGACTTCACGTCTCAGGATACCATTCATCGGGATAATAATAATAATTTATATTTCGTAGAAACGGATAAGTTTACAAAAAATGCATGCCACTTTTACAGGCACGATCAGTTATGTTATAAATTACAATCCTGAAGTATCATTAATTAACACTTTTTCAAATGTTTGAATTGTTCAATTATTATATAAGCAATCAGAACAGGTTCTTATAAATGTTAAATTGTGAACCCTCCACTAAGGTCACCATCAAAGTTGAGCGACAACCCAAACTTCGTTTCATTTCCTTCTGAACAAAGAGAAAATTGGAACCCATTAGGTCACCAGATACATCGATATCCGAGGATATTCTTAAGATTCTCTGAACACTTTCGATTTTTTTTCAGTTTGCAGACCTTAGGCTACTATACACGAGAGCACAATATTAAAGTTTGGGGCGGATACATGTTCTATATATAGCTAATCTTGCTTTTTGGGTGTAGAAGTTACCCAGTACAAAGCCAATAAGTCATTCATAGTCAGATACAACCTTATTTGCATGATCGGAAGTGGCCTAATACAATCTACATCTACAACCTTAGTAACCAACTGAAGACTGTCTTAGAATTATAAGGTTAAATAGGACATTCAGATGATTTTTCGGTAAAAAATGTATATCCTATCTCCACAACAGATTCACTATTCACAATTACTCGGAAACCATCTTCACAATCATTACTGAGATTGCGGATTAATTTCTTCCTACCCTACTTATCCGATTTCATAATTTAAAGTGAAACTGATGAAGTCAATGAAATCAGTATTTGGTGGCCCTAAAGAGGGCCATTCCGCGTTCTCACTGATGTCTCATACATCCTCCTTTCCTTCCTTTAACCGGTTATACGAAGACAATAAATAGGCAGTTGCTTTTTCTACATAACCTGCATTTACGCGTTCGTCAAGAAATCTACAAAACTTCCGCTTCAACTTTTGATAGTTTTCAATGTCACTGTTTCGTGTTACCGGTGCAGCAGTTAATACGGGTAGTGGATTTCTGTTAGCAAGCATCCATCGTCGACAATTCTTCAGAACGCGATCAACTGTATTGTAAGATCAATGTGCGTCTCACTTACCTTCAAAATGGGGATAAGTCAGATGAGCGATTACCATATGACGACAAGGATACTTGCAGGTGGTGAACACCCTGCAAGTACATGTACCTCTTGCCATATCAACTATTGGGTGTGTGAATCCGTCGACGAAAAATACGTTGTGAGAAATACGGTTTTCAATGCGGGCCCTTCTTACTCTTCTGAAATCTGCAACAACCTTTTTTCCGGCATACTCTGTTAATTTCGACAGTAAGGGTTGCAAACTAGGTATCCTGTTGTCCAGCACTCTTATGTTCACATCTCGTTCGCCATCAATTCTCCGCAACCTCCTGTCACTCCAGCGGTACACCTCCCACATACATTTATGTAGCGTAATACCTCTTGACAAATTTCGTTTCATCCATCTGTGTAAACTTTCAACGCGATTGTTAGTGTTATTGCCAAGTGACAAAACACTACGGTTGAATGCTGCTGCCCATAGTTTCTTCAAAGGCAGCCAGTGTCTGTGTACATACCTCGCAAAACGGGGATCCAGATGCCGTATGATACCGAGGTATGTGTAGAATCTGTAAATAAATTTATGATCAGTTCTAAAAATTTACCCATGAATTGATTCCTCGCGAATCATACTCGACAGGTACTGCCTAACAAGCCTACTTTTTGTCTACAAAATCTTTGAAATTCACAAAACTTACCTTTTTACGCATAGCACGAGAAACATGGAATGCATACAATATTATATTGCAAAGTGGGTGCGTTGTGTCAACGGCACCTCTCAATGCTTTTGCGCAATCCATGACAAACGTTTCTGTATTGTAAGTCGTACCCATTACACATTTAAATTTATCCAGAATCGTCGTTAGATCATCCAGCCTTTCTTGCCTACTCCACGCAAACATAACCGGCAGACCTTTTCCATGAGAGTCTGTAACAACAAATTGAAACAGTTTATAGCTTCGAATATTTGATGTAGAAAACATTTACACCTACTTTCCTCCATTATTGTTGTAGGTGGAATCGAAACCCACGACCTCAGGGAACTTGTGGTAAAATTCGATTTGCCTATTTGAACTAAAACATGCTATTCTTATTCTTCCATCGTTTTCATCCCGAATTATAACCAATTTCCCAGCTTGGTGTAATCTGGAAAAAACCACTGACCGTAAATCACAATCTGAAAATTTATTCTTGTACATCAACGTCTCACCTTCAACTACAGTAGCTCTTATATTTCGTAGATCATTGTACGTTATCCTTTTTTCGAATCGTTCTGCAACGTAATCAATAACCTTTTCAGGTTCAGATGAAACAGACAGCATCGGCTTAACTATAGAGAGTTCAGACTCATCTAATTTTCGTGCTCTAGCATCCTTCATTAAATAATCACGAGTGCAATAGTGATTATGAATCATATATACAGATGGTATAATGGATTCATTGCAATGATATCAGATGCGTATCATTGATGGGCAACCACTGTATTATGATCTACTCCGTCAGACATTAAAACCAACAGGAAACTTACCCTCTAAGGCGGATGTGATTACCTAAGGATTTCCTTTTGTGTCCAAAAGTACATACATACACCGCATAGTCATACTTCACATGTGGCTCATCCTTATTTAATTTAGATTCTCTCACAATATACCGGGTGTTTGTTAACTGATAATAGACACACTGATACTGTGCTTACCTTCTTACCATGTCAACTTGACGCCGGGTTCAGGGTGATCAAGAATGCTCTGACCCCGGGTGGAGGCTCACCATTGCACCTCGGTGGGTTGAAACTCGCGACAGACCCTAATCGGGTGCGATCGGGCGTGTAGTTTTTGTCAGTGGGGAGGCCTCACGGTCCTCCCTTTCTTTGTGCGTCAGTGGCACAGTGGTTAGGACTCTTGCCGAATATATGGGTTTCATTCTCTGCCGGCGCACACCCGATATCTATGGTCGGCCTGCAAAATTTGAGCTACAGATATCCATGCTGATAATTCCATACTTGTACTGAAAATATGGTGTGGAATCAAGGTGAAATCAAACTTTTAAAAAAATAAATAAAAAAAGCTTCGAAGCTTTTCCAACATCACCCCAGGTTCTAAATTCTTCAGGTTTAATTTGCTCTTCGAAAACTTTGCTAATATCAACTCTGATCGTATTTTCCTCATCAGATTGACTCGTAGATTGCTGCATGCTGTAAACATGAATGTGACAGACATTGTTTTTTCCAGATTTCTACATGTTAAGTAAGCAACTGAGCCAGCAACAATAACGGCAACCAACGAATGAACTGGAAACAACTGCTTCCGCCAACCAAACATGTTCATGTGCATAATTTCCAAAACTTCTACACAGTACTAATTCATTAATAGTGGAAAAGCAACTAAAACCCTGAAACCATACATGAATGCAACGTATGAAACAATAACAATGAAATGAATGAACTGACCTGGTGGTAAAAACTTTCGAAACAAACGAAATAACTAATTTTAACTGCAACGGAAACAAAAATGAAGTGAAACGCAACATTTGTGAACAATGTGAATCAGGATAAGTTGTGAATAACTGCTGGATAAACGGAAAAACCAATGTGTAAACGAACATCTACAGAACTGCAATCCAACATGGTCGACTAACATGGACGGAAATGACCTTGGAGCGTCTCACTCCATCAATGACCTTGTACGTTACGTTTAATTTCTGTCGACTCTGGCGGTACGTCCAACGTTTGCGTTACATTTTTGCGTGATTCGTTACATAAAATTTATCTTGTTGTAATCCTTGCACAAGTACTCTACTACTTCCATACCTATAACTATTAACTCTCATATCAAATAGTTATGGTTAACCAAAGTAGAAAGCAGCGAACTAAATCCCCTGCAAAACTGATGACTAATTTTAAGTCGTTGATTGCTACATCAAGCAACACACTTCCTACAAATGGTTATAGTGAGCCACAAAACTCACTTGTATGTCGTAAGCGTCGAGCTGAAACTGAGGATAAAACTATACTGACAGCTAGTATTAGCACTACTCCCAAAAATTCAGTACCCTCTGCTCATACAGAAACCCTCCCTACACCTTATGTGCTTATCGAAAAGCTCCAGCCTTAAGACTCTGTTTCAGTACTATCTTCAGAAATAGAACTTCTAAAGCTGTCTATAGGATAACTTAAGGCCGAGTTAAGGGACTTAAAAAACAATAAGTCAGTAGATCCTGGAATTTCTGATACCAATACCAAAATATCCAAATTATCAGATCAGATCAGTGATATCAAATCGCAGGTCTGTGAACTGACACCTTTAACCATTCTCATGAAAACTGTAGACCTTAACAAACTTGACAATGAATCGATATCTAAGGTAGATAACCTAATTAACTTTGTTACTACAGAAGTAACAAAACGACTCGATGCTAAACTAAATGCTATTGTCTACAACGTTCCGGACAATGAGGCACTAAAAAGGGTACAGCGCATCTTACTTAGTGAGGCGAAAATGCCCAACTCCAAGACTAAGTGCTACAGGCTGAAGAAGAGTCAAGATGAAAAGTGTTGTCCTATTCGTTTTCAGTTCGAAACACCCGCAGAGGCCAGAAAATTCATCCACTCCCAACACAACCTATCGCAATTCAGAAATTACAAACTAATAAAGGTTGCAGTGGACAAGACAGTCATAGAAAGGCGCGTATATAATCATCTCACTGAGTCTAATTGTGGAATAAACAATAGGACATTGCAAGCAGCAATTATACCCAACCCTCTGAGAGATACCGTAGAATCCACCGCACCACCCCTCTCAAACCACACAGAATTATCCTCTCAGAGAGAGACACCAACCGCAAGGCTACTAAATTGTAATCAAATAGCCAATAAAACTATACCGCCTATCACCGTAGATATAGACATGTCACCAAATAATCCTGGAAAAAAGTCAAAATCCCCCGAAAGTCGGCCCTGTCCTCTCCTGTCCATAAGTCCATTGGTAAAAAAGGAGAATATGACCCCAAATCATGCCAACAACAAAAATGGCAGTATAAATAAGCCCACATCTCCCACGGTCAATAGTATTGGCACCCAAAACGTGCGAAATAGCACCATGGCCCACACTGATAACCAACGCCACAACAATGCCTCCCTCAATAGTACAAGTGGCAATAGTCAGAACTCGACCACCAACAACTCAGGGTATCCACAGTGTAGCACACAAATAAATTTTGATCGGATATATGGTACAAGTCTGCTGGGAACTAACCCACAAAGCAGCACACATGAAACCCATACAACAACACAACTATTACCTAACAATAGGTGGAATAATAAACCATGGTCTCCCCAAGGTCCTAATCAGTTTTTATCCCCTGCGTCCCTGTCAGCGTTGAAAAAACAGCTGGTAGGGATGTTAACACTCCTAAACCACTACTGCTGGCTCCCCCTTTGCATGAATATAGGAACAGTCTAGTTCACCCGCATCCATTAAGCACACTTGATACATGCACAAGTTTAGGCTAAATAAAGATCCCTACCCACTTTTCTGGCTTAACTAAAAATAAAGATGCCTTAGCCTATAGCACATCCTGTACTCCAACGCTTAATTCTTCACCGAAAACAGTACACACTTACTCGATAGACATAGATGAGCGTGATGTTGAAACTCCTCTTAACATAGGGTCGTCATGCCAAACAGTACTACTGGGTGCTGAACCATACTCGGGGCTGATTGACGAACTTAAATACTTCAAATGCTACTTCAAATCTCATCTTTACCTGATCCTCATAAATGCTAGATCTGTTCTAAATAAACTGCCAATGCTCAGAGCACTCACAGTAATATACAAACCCCCTATAATTGTCATCACTGAATCCTGGTGTAATTCTAACATACTGGATGAAGAGATAAGCTTAGATAACTACACACACTTTCGGTGTGACAGGGAAGGTGGTAAGGGAGGGGGTTGTCTCATGTACTTTCTGAATGCACTTACTGTATCACAGCTAGAAAGTAGTACACTTAACATGCCTGAGACTTTATGGGTTAACTTACACTTAAATAACGCAATGGTATTAATTGGATGCACCTACAGAGCACCTGGTACCTTTAGTAATTACGAGACCCAACTTATTAATACTCTGGAACAATTATCCACCTTACAATACGATCATAAGATCCTATGTGGAGACTTTAACTTACCAGAAATCAACTGGGAAATACCCACAGGCCCAACTAAATTTGATAAGTTCTTAGGCACACTGGATATACTTGGCTGGAAACAGACTGTCACAACCCCAACAAGAGGTAATAACGTACTAGACTTAATCTTCTGCCACAATATAAGTCCCCTTTCTACCCTAATATGTTTTGAGTTTCCAGGGAGTGACCACAAATCAGTGCTGTGTGCACTGCCACTTCCGTCATGTAGCAATGCCGCCCATACCCCTACTTCACAACAAATAACTTACAGGAACTACAGGAAGGCAGACTGGACTCTAGTGAAATCAATTTTAAGATCCTCAGAATGGAGAGAGTACTTCACTACTGATGACCTCTCACGAGCTCTGAGCATCTTCTACCATAAATCCAACACATGCTTAGATGCTGTCTTTCCACTCCAAACACTTGAGCTTTCCCCACATAGGAAGTCATTCGTAAAACCAAAGGATCGTATGAAACT